CTCCTATATTTCTATATTCTATAATGTAGGCTATGCCAGGATATTCATTTTTTTAATGATCTCAAGATGAAAGATGAAATGGACACTTCAACCAGGAAAACTGTTACTTTTTGCTTCTTCAGCAGTGTCCTCACACTGCACATAGGGTCAAAATTGAGTCATCATACATATTTTAACAGCCCCCCCCCCCACCTTTCTTTGCATCATATATCATTCTCCTTTTTTATTTCCATAATTTATATCCCACTGGCTTACACTTATGAATCCATTCCTGTTAAATGTCGAGACCATGTGATGTGAAATAACCTCAAAATAAAGAGTACTTCAACATTTTGGAAAAAATTGGAAAAACCTATTTTGTGTTTATTTTGCCACAAAAATGTAAACAAGTATGCAACTACTTCATCCCTTGGGAACTATGTTTTTCTCATAGAGTCAATGGGGAAGGCAGCATCTGGTGTGTGCAAGATTATATTAGCAATATTTGTATTTTTTTGGGCAGACTGCTGCTTTAAATAGCTCCTTTTTATGAGTGGCATTTGCAATAATGACTCCTTTGTGATTGCAGTTTCTTCTCCATAGAGGACAGTAGAACGCAGAGAACAGTTGGGCACGGCCACAGTAATTGAAGCAATTGCAAATGAATCCCATGGGACTGTGTCTTCAGTCTCAGCTGAACTGAACGGAGCAAATGGCTTTTGTGAACAACTCTTGTGTGATTCCTTCCCGGGGCCACGTTGCAGTAACATCTGAATGAGAAAATCCTATCTTAATCCCACTTAAGAAAGCAATTTAGAGGTTTTTTTTCCCAAGACAGAAGGGGTGTTGTTGAATTCAATGTCGGTTGTCAGTCATGCTGCAATGTAACAATCTGTAAATCACCCTCAATCTGCTGCAGAGGCGACAGATAACTTCATCTGATAGCAAAGACTGACTTCTCCCTAAGCTATTTGGGCACCTTTCACTGCTTTGTCAGGAATTTCAAAGTCATGATTTGCCTCATAATTGCAAACATCTTCAAAATGCTCCAAAACATTTGTTTAAAACTGGAATGTGTGAAACTTTTACTGAGCTGTGTGAATAGTCGCTTATGCGCTATGCCACAATTCTGTGTAATAGTATTTTGCAATTCCCTTGGCATTACTCCAGGACGTTGACTTCAGTCTGACTTCCAGTGGAAACTGCAGAGATGTAGATTATACGGTAAATGCCCAATCTAAGTCCATTTACACCTGCAACACAACAACCAAAGATAAGCAGAACTTTTCTATGACACACTGTGTGAATTTCCACAAAATATAAGCATCATTATACCAGTGTTTATTGATAGTGATGCTATCCTATTGCATGTTGTAACGACATGAAGCAGAAGGTGTTATGTCTTGATGAATGGCCATGTTTGATGTGGCTCACACATTATAGTTGTAATCTGATTAAAGGAAGAACGTGGGTCAGGCGTAGCTATTGTTATCATACTGTGATAGTGGGGTAATGTGATTATG